GCCTGCTTCTCCCTCTGCCTATGTCTCTGCCTCTCTCTGTGTGTCTCCTATGAATTAAAAAAAAAAAACTCTTAAAAAAATGTTGGTTGACTCTACTCAACATGCAATTGATTCATACTGCAGGTTTAACTGCTGATTTAAAAAAAAAAAAAGAATTCACGATGCACCCAGTGGGTGTTAACATTATTTTGTGCTCTCTTCCCGCAAAGGGAAAGACACATTACCATCAATAACAGAGGCTAAAGAGCAGTGATTACTCATTAGGTAGGTCTGTAGTGGAATCACCGAGTGGATTTATGAAATATCCCCCTGCACACAGAAACACTCCAGCTACCTGTGAACTTGCTTTCCTAGAGACAGCAGCTTCACCCTGAAGATTAAAGCTTTTTCAGGGTTTGCCCAATCCTAAGGCCTATGGGCAGCCACCTCTTTATTATCTCCAAGTACCAAAAATCAGAGTCAAGCAATGCCTTGTCTATCTTTAATGATGGCTACTTTACACATAGCGTGAGTTAAAAATATTAAAAAAAAAAAAAACCTGGGTTGGAGAATTATTTATTTGAGAGAGACATAGGCAGAGGGAGAAGCAGGCTCCCTATGGGGAGCCCAATGAGGGACTCATCCCAGGACCCCGGGATCACGCCCTGAGCCAAAGGCAGACACTCAACTGCTGAGCCACCCAGGCATCCTTCAAATCCAGTTTTGATTTTCATCACTTTTTTTTAACCTGTAGCTAAAAATTAAATATAGTGTAATGAAGTAGTTAACATTCATATTACCAATAATTCACAGCTACTAAAGAGACAGTCATGTGCATAAAAAATATGCAGGCCAAAAACTATAAGACAATTTGAAGTATTGTTGGAAATCTCTGAACCAGTGAACGGGTGAATTTATACAGTTCACCCAACATCAAAAAACACCCTGTTTCAAGGGTTCTTTTCTTACTTATCCTGACTCCACTATCTGTGCATTCAATAGGATAATTAGATTATTTTTTTTTTTTTGAGTAGGTTCCATGCCTACCTATAGAGCATGGAGCCCAGTGTGAGACATGAACTCACGACCCTGAGATCAAGACCCGAGCTGAGATCAAGAGTTGAACACTTAGTCACCCATGTGCACCAGGATAATTGGATTTTATTGCATTTTCTAAGTGGCATTCATTCACCACAGAGACGGGGCTGGAGAGGGGACTGGGGGTGGAGAGGGTGTTGCACATTCTACTGGATATTCTTGTGGGCCAACCCCACACGGAGATGCCCTCACTCTGTCTTGTACACAAGCACCTCGCTTATCTCTAGGTACCCAAGACTCTTCAGTAATTTTCTCCCTCTCTTGTAATACATCTCTCTTTCCCAACTTTAAACTATGAGCAATTTGAAACCTATAGGGAAGTTGCAAGAGTAGTTCGATCAATACCCATATACCCTTCACTTAAGTTCCCCAATTATTAGCATTTTGTCACATCTGCTTTCTCCTTAATTGCAGACAAATCTAAAACTTTGCCCTAAACACTTTAGTATACGTAAGAGTGATCACACTTAAGACCTTTATCATGGTACAACACTGTCATCCAAAGTACAGTCCATATTCAAAGGACTACAGTCCTTTCAAGAATCTTCCTTTATAGGTGGCACAGCGGTTTAGCGCCTGTCTTTGGCCCAGGGCGCGATCCTGGAGACCCGGGATCGAATCCCACGTCGGGCTCCCAGTGCATGGAGCCTGCTTCTCCCTCTGCCTGTGTCTCTGCCTCTCTCTCTCTCTCATTCTGTGTGACTATCATAAATTAAAAAAAAAAATTAAAAAAAAAAGAATCTTCCTTTATAGGTTTTGTTTTCACTCAGGCTCTCATCTGGGATGATGGATTGCACTTAGTGGTCATATCACTTTAGTCTTTTATTTATTTATTTATTTATTTATTTATTTATTTATTTATTTATTTATTTATTATTTATTTATTTATTCATTCATTTATTTAGAAAGTGGTGGTGGTGGGGGACAGAGGGAGAGAGAGAATCCCAAGCAGACCTCATGCTGAGCAGGGAACCCAATGTGAGGCTCAATCCCATGACCCTGAGATCAGGTCCTGAGCCGAAACCAAGAGTCAGATGCTTAAGTGTGCCGCCCAGGCGCCCCTCTCTTGAGTCTATTTTAATCTAGAGAAGTTAACAATGACCTTTTTGAAGACTCTAGGCTGTTATTTTGTAGTATCTGTCCCAATTTGGATTAGCATGATGTTCTTAGACTCACTTTAATAGTGTGGCCAGGAATACTACTACTTCGAGGACGTTGTATTCTTCATTACTTTCTAAGTGGCTTTGTTCTCAATCACCTGGCCCCTACAAGGAATTAAATTCAAAATGGAAAGGAGGAAAGAAAAGAAAAACGAATTCCAGGAGCTCCGCTATGCCTTTGGTGGAAATAAAAAAAAACTTCCTAGGAGTAAGAGGAAGCCTCTGGGACAGAGGCTAAGGGGTGACAGTCTCAACAGCCAGATGGGTCCAATCAACCCTGAGAAGGACTGCTCACACCATCCACATATACATCCGCTTTGGTGAGGTCCAGGGGGGCTCTCTGGTCCAGAAACAACCCCTATTCCTATTCTTAGAAAGGGTGTGCAAGTAGCTCCACCTAGTGGGAAAACATTTGACTTGTCAATAATAAAAGCATTATTGGGATTTTCGTTGAAAAAAAAAAAACATTTGACTAACCTGTGCACTCGGAATCTTAAATGAGTAAGCAAGAGGGTAACTTTCTTTAAAGAGATAATATAATGCTAAATAAAATATGGCTTTGAAGTCGGTTTTGTTTGTAGAAACGGTGATTCCCTACAAATCAAGAGGCAAATAACTCTCAGCCTCTTGTCCTCCAGGTAAATATGAATTTTATGGAAAAAGCACAAATATTCTCAGTGTGTTGTAAAGCAGATTCCCACTTTGGGAATTACTGTTAAAGAGAACTGGTTAAGGCCAGTGATTCACCTGCTCTGGGTTGTGGCCTGAGCCCCACCCTCCCCAAAGCCATCTTTTATCTTTCAAAATGGCTTGGTTTGCAATCATTTAGCGTTATGCTTGGTCCCTTCACTGGAGCGAATTATCCTGATTTGATTGATGGGAGAAGTCAGGAAACCTGAGTACTGTTCCTAGCTCTATCGCTACCTGTCTGTGTTCACATCTTTGGGTCTCAATTTCCTTCTCTGTAAGATGAAGACAAAGGAATGTAAGGTTTCTTCAATACCTTGTAGCTTTCAAATTCTAGGATTCTAAAAACCATAAAGACTTCCGGATACTCAGTAAAAGGCAACCTTGCCATGGAATACTATGCAGCTGTAAAAAGTAAGAAAGCTTTCTCTCCTGATCTAGAAAGAGTCCCAGATATAGTAAGTGAAGAAAGCAAGGTGGCAAACATTATACTTAATGATCCCTTTCCGTAAAAAAGGGCACAAAAAATATGCACTTAGATTTGAATTAAAAAAACTCCATCCTAGAGGCACGCCTGGGTGGCTCAGTTGGTTAAGTGTCTAACTCTTGATCTCAGCTCGGGTCTTGACCTCAGGGGGGTGAATTCAGACCCTAAGTTGGGCTCCATGCTGGACACAGAGCCTACTTAAAACAAGACAAAATTCCATCCCCTTGGCCCTGGGTACACACCAACTCCATGCAACCAGACCTAAGGCTTCCTTCATTTTAAAAATTATTTTTAAAAAAGATTTTATGTATTTATTCATGAGAGATACACAGAGAGAGGCAGAGACATAGGCAGAGGGAGAAGCAGGTGTGCGGAGCCTGATGCGAGACTTGATCCCAGGACCCCAGGATCACGCCCTGAGCCGTAGGCAGATGTTCCACTACTGAGCCACCCAATATTTGTTGAAAAATAAAACAATCAGTGTTGTTTATTGGAGGCACCTGGGTGGTTCTGTCGGCAAAGCCTCTGCCTTCAGTTCAGGTCATGACCCAACGCCCTGGGATCGAGTCCCACGCCTGGCTCCCTGCTCAGCAGGGAAGTCAGCTTCTCCTTCTGCCCCTGCTCCTGTGCTCATTCTCTCTCTCTCAAGTAAATAAAAATATTTATTAAAAAAGATATTTATGGAATACTTGGGAATGTGGGTAAGATACTCGCTAATAAAGAAAAATTTCTTTGGGAGGTTCTGCATCAGCTTGACAAAATGAAGGAAGGAGCACGAGGAAAGCCAAAAAAAAAAAAAAAAAAAAAAACTAAAAGAGATCCTTCTCCCAGGCCCCCAAATGAGCTGGACATAGCCCCACCACCCTGGGTTGGTGAGAAGGGCCCACTGAGGTTGTTCAAAGGCAAGAGGCCTTTGGGGACCTGTGACACCTTATCATTCTAGGGTTGAGTTCATGACATGGGCCCGGAGGCCACTGCCATGTACCAGACATATCTTTTTTTTAAATATTTTTTTTCTTTATTTACTTATGATAGTCACACACACAGAGAGAGAGAGAGAGGCAGAGACACAGGCAGAGGGAGAAGCAGGCTCCATGCACCGGGAGCCCGACGTGGGATTCGATCCCGGGTCTCCAGGATCGCGCCCCGGGCCAAAGGCAGGCGCCAAACCGCTGCGCCACCCAGGGATCCCCCCATACATATCTTTTAAAGCTAAAGTGGGCAGGTGAAGAGTAAGCTATTATGAGAAAATAGTGCAGTTTTCTATTTTCCCTCCTACAGGGAAATAGCATCCCTGGGTGACTCCTGAGGGACAGCCCCATGGCCCACTTCGTGCTGAGGGATGCAACCTGGCCATCCCCGTGGCTGGACTTACCGTGAGGTTTTATTATTGGCAGCAGTTCATTGCAGACATTTCTTGTGGCAAAAAAGTTTGTCTTCAGCGTTATCTCAGCTTGGATGTCAAAGGGCGTTGGATCATCAGCTTCCAAAAAGAGAAGGAAACAAAGTCAAGCATTTCCCCTCTGAAATGTATATGACAAAGTGGATCTTATCTCTAATGAAAGTTAAAAAAAAAAAAACAAGCTAACTTTTAAACGATTTTTTTTAAACCACTGGGTCGGTGCTTCTCAAACTTCCAGCGAGCGTCTGAATCACCTGCAGGACCTGTTAAAACAGCTTTCTGGGCTCCACCTCCAGACTTTGGGATTGAGAAGGTCTGGGGTGGGGCTCCAGAATTTGCATGTCAACGCGTTCCCAGGTGACGCTACAGCTACTGGTCTGGCCACACTCTGAGAATTGCGGGCTTTCAAGGCTGCTGCTCAATCTTGACCGGGTATGGGACGCAGCTAGGGATTGTTAAAATGCAAATTCTGATTCAGCAGGTGTGGAAGGAGGCTTCGTTGAAGGTGATGCAACCAAAAGTGGTTCCGCCGCCCACACTTTTTGAGAGGGTGGGGGCTTCCAGCCGAGGTTGTGTTCCTGTCCACGCGCTCCAGGAAGCCGAGCATCTCTCCATCAATCCGTCAGCCTGCGGGTCCCCGCCACTTCCCGCCTGCGCTCCCAGAAAGCCCGCAGGCTGAGCCGGAGGTGCGGATGCTCAGCGACGGTGACGGGTTAAGGCCGGGGCGGAGGGGCGGGAGTCGATCGAGGCCTCATACTACTTTTTACTCTGTTTTGCCTCTTGGGTTTCCCTTGCCCAGTAGGTTGGTAAATGGGGCTGGCCTGATTATTCTTTCTTTCCCCTGCGCAAGGCAGCTCAATTAACTTTCTTGTGTGTGTGTTTTAAAGATTTCATTTATTCATGAGAGGCACAGACAGAGAGAGAGGCAGAGACCCAGGCAGAGGGAGAAGCAGGCTCCCTGCAGGGAGCCTGATGCGGGACTCGATCCCGGGTCTCCAGGATCACGCCCTGGGCCACAGGCAGGCGTTAAACCGCTGAGCCACCCAGGGATCCCCTCAATCAACTTTCTTAATAGAACCACAGAGAAAATAATCTTGATTTTTTTTTTGTCCCCCTCCGAAGATGCTACTTAAAAAATCACACTTAACATGTATGTTTGATGACAGACCCAAATTCCCTGGGGGTGGGGGGGTTGGGGGGGTGGGGAGGGAACAAGGCTCGCTTCCTTTCCGCCTGAGCCTATCAAAGCTCTCCATTAAACAAAATCTCAAGTCCGCTGATGTGTAAAGTGCGCACTGATCTCGTCTCAGCGATCCATTTCCTGTCCCGAGCAGATGCCTCCGGGCAACTACGAATGCACCATTTCACGGATAGCGAAAGCCCCGCCCGAGTGAGCTCGGAGACCCTTTGCAGGGAAATGCTTTTTTTTTTTTTTTTTTTTTTTTTTTTTGCATTACACAGAAAGCTGGTGAGCTTAGCAGGGCGTGGCCCCCCTCCCAGGAGGCCGGGTTTCTGGCGCCCAGCGGCCGCGGACGGCTCCGGGAGCGCCCCGGGATGCGCCCCGCCCGCCTTGCGCCCAGCGAGCCGCTCTGGCGACTCGGCGAAAAGCGACGATCCGCAGCGGGAGGCCCGGGCTGAGCGCGCCCCGCGGAGCCGGCGCTGCGCTGCGCGATCACCCGGGCGCACGGGGGCGCACGGGGGCGCACGGCGGGGGGGTGCCTGCGGCTCTCTGCCCTGCACCCTCGGCGCACCCAGGGACCCCCCCCCCCACCCCGACCTACGCTTGAAGGCGATGCCCGCGTTGTTGACCAGCACGTTGAGGCCCCCGTACTCCTTGCGCAGGAAGTCGCGCAGGGCGCGGATGCTCTGCAGGTCGTCGATGTCCAGCAGGTGGAAGCGCGGGCTCAGGCCCTCGGCCTGCAGCTGCTGCACGGCCGCCCGGCCCCGCGCCTCGTCCCGCGCCGTGAGCACCACGTCCCCCGAGAACTGCCGGCACAGCTCGCGCGCGATGGCGAAGCCGATGCCCTTGTTGGCCCCGGTCACCAGCGCCACGCGGCTGCAGGACGACATGGCCGGGAGGGGAGGCCCCGGGCGCGTGGAGAGCGGACCGGGCTGCGGGCCCCCGGGGAGCGCGCTGCAGCGCCGTGGACACAGGAAGGGAAGCCCCAGGGAACTGGGCGCTGCGAGCCCGGGCTGCGGCTTCTGGAGAACCAGGCCCCGGCCCTCGGGCCCTCCCCTGCGAGGAGTGGCCGTCTGTTCCCGAAGGTTTCGTAACGGGCCCTCTCCCGGGTCCGCCCCTTCGCCCGCGCAGATCCCGCCCCCGAGTCAGGGCAGCTCTCTCCGAGCCCGAGCGGAGGGTGCAGGGTCGGCCCGGGTCTAGAGATTCCCCGCAGTTGGATTGAAGAGACTGTTGCAGGAAAACCCCACAAGGAGGAAAACAAGTGCTGAGTAATTTTCTTGGGCTCGTGCCCATCATTCACTGCAAAATGGAAATGCTTGCCTTTTCCTCAAATGCGATGAAATTAGACACCGTAACTGCTTTTGAAGACACAGATCTCCCCCCACCCTTTTTTTTTTTTTTGCTTAAACTCAAGAAAGACAAGAGGAAAAAAGAAAGGGGCCTAGGAGGAGATGTACAGGTATGGTCTGGGCTCATCTCTGCGTGTGATTCCCAGTGCGCCCCAAGTGGGACGAGTGTGGATGGAGCCCTCTCTGCGTGTCAAGCCTCTTCCTGGAATGTTTTCATTTAATCCTTGCATAAGTCCTGTGGGTGCTCAGTGTCTGCATTTTAGGTTTGTCGAAGGAAGATGGACATTATCCGTCTCTATTTTTTTTTCTCCCAAAGTAACATGTGTGCCCCACAATGTTCAAATGAAAATGAATCCCCAGTTGTGTCAAGGTCTGCAGAGGCAGTTAGAGTTCCCCGGCCCACCTTCTAGAGTGTAATCTGAAGGCGTTTGATTAGTGACACTTAGATTTATGGAGAGTTGTGACCTCATTGTGACTCACCTTTTCTCAAGCAGAGCTGGCTAAGCTGCCTTTTTTTTTTTTTTTTTTTTTTGTCTGTCACCTTGACCATCCTTTTCCATCAAATCAATAAGGGAAGTCAGGAAGTTGGGCTCTTGCTGTGTGGTTCCCCTCCTGTGGCTCAACCAGTAGTCTTTTTCCCCTCTAGAAATTATTTGGAACTCTATTTTAAAGATGTAGGGCTATTCAGGTTTTCCATTTCTTTTTGAGTGAGCTCAAATTGTGTTTTTCAAAAAAATTTGTTTATTTCATCCAAGTTGTTGATTCTTGTGAGGTGAAGTTGTCACAGTATGCTCTGGGTAGTGATATATGGGTAGTGATGCTGCCTCCCTTACTCCTGATAGTGTTCATTTGTGTCTTTCATATTTTTTCTCCTGCTCTGTCTGGTGAAAGGTTTATCAATTTTTTTTTAACCTCAAGGAAGCATCTTTTGGTTTTACTGGTATTTTTCTCTATTTTTTCCTGCTTATATTTTTGTTCTAACCTTTATTTCTTTTCTTTTGCTCACTTGGGGTTTTATTTTCTCTTTTTCTAGTTTCTTACCATGGAGGATGAGGTCATTCAAGATCTTTTTTTTAATTTAAGATTTTATTTATTTATTCATGAGAAACACAGAGAGTAGAGAGAGAGAGAGACAGACAGGCAGAGGGAGAAGTAGGCTCCATGCAGGGAGCCTGATGTGGGACTCAATCCCAGGTCTCCAGGATCAGTCCCTGGGCCGAAGGGGGCACTAAACCAATGAGCCACCCAGGCTGCCCAAGATCTTCTTTTCAATATAGGTGCTAAGGGCTATTAATTTCCCTCTATTTATTTTTATTTATCTTTATCTTTTTTTGAAAGGCAGAGGGAGAGAGAGAATCTCAAGCAGACTCCGTGCTGAGCACAGAGCCCTCCATGCTGAGCTTGATCTCATGACCCTGAGATCATGACCTGAGCTGAAATGAAAAACCGGTCCTTAACTGACTGAGCCACCCAGGGCCCCTGTTAATTTCCCTTTAATTAGTGCTGTTAGTGGCATCATGTAAACACTGATATGTTGATTTTTCAATTTTAATTGGTTTAAAATACTTTCTAATTTACCTATCGATATCTTCTTTGACGATATTTAGAAGTATTTTTAAACACATTAAAAAAGATTTTATTTATTTATTCATGAGAGACACAGAGATAGAGGCAGACACATATGCAGAGGGACGAGCAGGCTCCCTGCAGGAACCCCAATGTGGGACTCAATCCTCAGACTCTGGGATCATGCCCTGAGCAGAAGGGAGACGCTCAACCCTTGAGCCACCCAGTTGTCCCTAAAAACATTTTTTGAGAGATTTTATTTTTTAAGTAATCTTCACACCCAACGTGGGGCTCCAGCTCACAATCCCCAAGATCAAAAGTTGTATGCTCTACTGGCTGAGTCAGCCAGGTGCCCAGGAAGTATATTTTTTAAAGTTTCCAACTGTTTGGAGATTTTTCAGATATCTCGCTATTATTGATTCCTAAGTTAATTCTATTATAATCAGAGAACATACTGTGTAAGACCTGAATTCTTTTTAAAGAGTTTTAAAAGCTGAGAGATATTAAAGCATGTTTTGTGCAATGGTAATAATCTCATAGGGAGGTAAAAATTGATGGAGAGAAAGGGAATAATTCAAGAACAAAATGTGTGGGAGGCAGGTGCAGTTGGGATCTAGGACTTGGATGGGGGCTTGTCTTTGGAAGCAGGCATCTGGTAACAGGAGGAAAGCAGAGTGTGTGAGTCTAGCTAGATGGTTCTTCATGAAGGCATTATTTCCTCTTTGAAGGATGAGCCATTTGACGTCATTAGCAAGAGGTTTCAGTCTGGGAGATTTGAGGAAATAATAGCCATCTTGTGGAGTGTGAGGTGAATGAATGTACTAGGGAACTGGGCAGCATTAACTAATGAAGCCGGGGCCCCATTTGTGATCTGTGGTCATAAACGTCAAGACAGTATGATCAGCTTCCTATCATTCCCCATACCCCCTACCCCCCTGGCATGTCTACCTGGTAGTGCAGGCTGAGAGCGGTGGTGAAGTTGGAGGGTTGGTATTTTGCCAGGCTTACACAACGGCATGAAGGGTGTTTGCAAGGAAAGGATTTATAGTATAGGGCTATGGCCTCAAAGAATGGAAGAAAAGACATGAGGAAGTTGGAGATTTACAACAAGGGAAAAACAATAGGGTCGATAGAAGGAGAGGTCTCCGAAGGCGGGACACCGCTGGAGGAAGCCAGGTCCCAGGGGTCAGTGTGGGATGCTTTGAGATAGAGGCCTCAGAGGCTGTGTGAAGGGGGCAGGAAAGTTGTTGGTGTGACAGAGGTCAAGGGACTGGGAAGCCAACATACTGAATGGATCCTGCACATGTTTTGTGACTTCATCAGAGATGAGGACAGGTATGGAGAGGAAGGAGAAGATAACGAGCCTGGTGCTGGCCTCAAGGTGTGTGCCCTGCTGCTCTTGCTGTCCTGAAATTCTTGATTTTAAAATAAGAATCCCTCATCTTCATTTTGCACTGGGCCCTGCAAATTGTGTAGCATGTCACACCCATGAATGAAGGGGTGTGGTGAGGTTGGCTTGAAGGAAGTGTGTTAGTCATAGCAATGGAACCTTGAGTTTTTCATCTTAGAATCTCCTGGGGATCTTTAAACACACACACATACACACACACACACACACAAATACAGATGCCTGGCTCCATCCCCGGACATTGTGATTTAATTGGGGTATGACCTAAGCCCTGGGACTTTCATGGTGATTCCAGTGCGCAGCAAAGGTTGGCAAGCCGTTGGGTTTTATAGTAGCAAGGTGGGTTGATTGGTTAAAAGTGACATGATCTTAAAAAAAAAAAAAAAAGTGACATGATCTTGAAAAGAGTTGGTGTTCTCAAAAGAGAAAAGCTGAGAAGAGGTTTGGCACAGGTTGTTGCGGTAGACAGAAAAAGCAATGCTCCCAGGGGTCTGTGTTCTAATCCCCAGGACCTGGGAATGTTACTTTACATGGCAAAGGGGACTTTTCAGGTGTGATTCAGTCGTGGATCTTGTGATGGGGTGATTACCCTGGATTATTTTGATGGTCCCAGTGTAATCCCAAGGATCCTTAGTTACATTTTATTATTATTTAGTAATCTCTACACTCAATGTGGGGCTTGAACTTACAACCCTGTGACCAATGTGGTGCCATCCCCCCATCCCCACCAGGGTCCTTATTAAAGGGAAACAGGAAGGTCAGAGGCAGAGAAGGAGATGAAAAACAAAAGAAAAGCGAGAGAGAGAGAGAGAGAGAAATTTGAAGATGTTGTACTGCTGGCTCCGAAGACCAAGGAAGGAGCCAGGAACCCAGGAATACAGGCCTCTTGCAGAAGATGGAAAAACCAAGCAAATCCTCCCCTGCCCCTTCCCCAGAGCCTCCAGAAAAAACACAGCTCTGTTGACATTTTGGCCTTGGGACTTACAACCTCCAGAACTGTAAGATGATAAATCTGTGTTGTAAGCCACCAAGTTTGTGGGAATTTGCTATGGCAGCCGCTGGAAACTGATAGAGTTTTCTTAGAGGATTCCCTGCCTCACCTCCAGGATGTCAGGAAAAACATCCTCCACTTGTACCTGGCACAGCATCACACAAAGGATTGACATCATGAACAAGTTTTTTTTTTTTTTAAAGATTTTATTTATTTATTCATGAGAGACACACAGAGAGAGGTAGAGACTAGATAGAGGGAGAAGCAGACTCCTTGCAGGGAGCCCGACATGGGACTTGATCCCCCTCCCCGGGATCATGCCCTGAGCCGAAGGCAGACACGCAACCGCTGAGCCACCCAGGTGCTCCTCATGAACACATTTTTAAAGCAAAGGACTGGTTTGGGAAGAAAAAATGCTTTGATACCTCTCCTGAGGATTGAGGAAGAATGAGTTAAAGAGAACAAAGCAGCTTGACCTCATCTGTTTTGTGGAAAACTCGACTTGGTTGGTGGGTCTGTCAACAAAAAGCAGAAGCGAAGGACAAACTCCTGGGCCTGATCCAAACTGCCACCATTTGAATGGCTGCGGGTACCTATTCAGAAGAGTTCCGGGTTCTGGTGGCGGTGGTGTTTTACAGCTGTGATTCTTCTTAAATTGCCTTTGTACTCACTCAGTGAGGCTACTATCCCTTCGTGTTTCCTAAGTCATTAGGGTAAGAACCAAAGTTGGTCCCCAGCAACATGGTGTGTCCAATGGTTCTTCTTCAAAAGGCACATTTCGTCCAGGGCCCGGGTGTCCACGGCATTCATTCCCCTGCATTCCTCTGGTGAGTATTTGAGCATCAGTTAGGTTCCAAGCATATTTAGGAATGAACAGATGCAGGGCGGGTGGGGGTGGGGGGAGCCCCCTATCTTCATGGACCTGCTCTTAGCTTTGCGGCTTACTGGCTGTGTGGTCTTGGGCAAGCCTCGGTTTGGCCCCTTGTAAAATGGGAACAATTTGCAGTGCTTAGTTCTTACGACTGGTATATGGGTGAAATGAGAGTATTGTAAGGGTGCGTAGTGTGGGACTCGCAAAGAAAACACTTTGGACATGTTTGCTCTCCTGTCCTCCAGCAAGGGGAGGCAGACAGACCAGCACTCATCCATGTGCTTACAGCCTCGGACTGAGGTCCTCCTGGATAGCAGGAGTGGCATCGGGAGGTGTCACAACTGCTGACACCGCTTTGCTATAGGCAGATGGCAATGTAGGCGGAGGTGGGAGAGGAGAACCTGCCTCCAGCCTCACCTTAAAGGAAGCCCTGTTGATGCGCTCAGCTTCTCAGAACCTTTGGGATGCTCAAGACAGGCCCGGGCAGGAATGGGGCCCATTGTCTTTCTGGAAGCAAGATTAAGGTCAGATTCCTGAGTCAAATGAAGAAGTCAATACAGTTTGGTAAATTGTCTCCTCCTCCTTCTCCTCTTCCTCCTGCTCTCTGTCCCCATTGCTTCAGGCCCTGGCCTTCCCAGGACTGGACAGTGAAGTGGTTCAGGGGCAGAACTGGGATGTTGAGTGTCGGGAGGGCAGTGGAGGTGGGGGTGGGGCATGTGGGGATGGAGAGGCAGATCCTGGTGCACCTCAGTGCACCCCCACCTTCCTGTCCTCTGGGCTGTGCCCCTGAGTGTGGACTGTGGGGTCATCCAAGGCCCCGGCAGGGCTTGACCACATGTACAGGAGGCACGACAAGCAGGTGTGGGATGGTGCTGCTGCTTCTTCTTCTTCTTTTTAAATCATATATATTTTTATTTTCTGTAAGGAACACGTAACATAAAAATCTCACCCCTTAACCATTTGTAAGTGTACAGTATAACAGTATTAACCATGTGCATATCATGGAGCAGGCTTCTAGAACTTTTTCATCTTTCACAACTGAAACTCTATACCCCTTGAACGACAACTCCTTGTCTCCCCTTGCCATCCCCCAGCCCCTTGTAACCACATTCTACTTTGTTTCTACACATTTGACTGCTTTTAGGGACCTCATTTAAGTGGCACCAGGCAGTATTTGTCTTTCTAGGATTGGCTTATTGCGCTTAGCATAGTGTCCTCGAGGTTCATCTGCGTTACAGAGCATGACAGGGTTCCCTTCTTTTTAAAGACTGAATAATATTCCATTGTATGTATTCACCACATTTTCTTTATCTGTCAGGGGGCACATACGTTGCTTCCACTCTCGGCTATTGTGAATCACGCTGCAGTGAACATGGGGGCTCACATTATGCTGCTTTCTTGAAGACCTCCAGGGGGTCCTATGGCGTGTTTATGCCTCAGCTGGAATACAAACAGATCTTCAAACCTCCAGTTGAATCTTCTCTCTACTGCCTTATTGTCTTGACCGGGACCAGACTTAGTGCCACTTGCAGGTCCATTCGGATCCTATTTCTATGAAATTACCCAAGATTAAAAGTATCCTGTCTTTTTCCAGCTCTACTGAGCTGTAACTCACATAGAATTTTTTTAATGACAAGCAGGTGTGGGATGGTGAAAATAGTTTTGGTTTTCTTTATTTTTCTTTACAGGAAACAGCAACGTTCTTGTTTCTCCCCCCTCCCCAGCTTTGTTGAGGTGTGATGGACAAACAAAAATTGTACATATTTAGGTGGTACAGTGAGGTTTGTAAAAAGATATACAGTGTGATGATTTAATATATGTATACATTGTAAAATGATCACCACAGTCAAGTTAATTAACACATCCATCACGTCACATGTAGCCATTTATTTATTTATTTATTTATTTGTTTATTTATTTATTTATTTATGAGAATGAATAAACCAGAAGAGGGGCAGACTGCGTGCGAGAGAATCTCAAGCAGATTCCATGCTGAGCACAGAGCCTGACATAGGGCTCGATCCCATGACCCTGAGATCATGATGTAGCCAAACTCAAGAGTTGGATGCTTGCCTGACTGAGCCACCTAGGCACCCCAATAGCCTTTTGTTTTAAAAGCTCTAGCATGTGCAAGGTATTCTGCTAAGGCCTCTGCATTGTATTATCTCATTTACTCCTTCATATTATATTTCCCATTTACATTGTTTTGTTGTCTCGTTTACTCCTCACATCAATCTATAAATTAGGTACCATTTTATGCCTATTTTACAGGTGAGGAAACTGAGGTTCAGAGTGCAATAAACTTGGCAGATATAGTGTTAAATCCTCTATACCAGTGGCTATCAACTAGCAGTGATTTTGGGGTCCCCATTCCCCTCCCCCCAGGGAACATTTGACAATGTCTGTAGACATTTTTTGGTTGTCACATGATGTTGGGGATGTTGCTATTGGCATCTAGTGGGTAGAGACCAGGAATGCTGCTACACATCCTACCAGGTACAGGACAGCACTCCCAGTCCTACTCCTGACAAAGAATTACTGAGCTGGAACTGTCTCTGGTGCTCAGGCTGAAAAACCCTGCTGTATATAAGTGATCTACTTTAATCTCTACCACAACCTTGAGAAAGTTGAGGCTTACATGGGTGAACTCATCCACACAAGTGCTCAACTGGTTAGGGGGACCTGGGTTTGAAGCTGTGTGTGTGTCTTATTCCTAAGCTAGTGCTTTTAACCACACAGGTAGACTGCTCCAAAGGTGTTGGCACGTTACATTTCAGGGATGGAGAAGAGGCGTGGGATTGGAAAGTCGCATATGGGAGCATCGTTATCAAGATGTGGCTATCACAATGGGTGAGCTGTAATTTGGGGTCTCCTGGGGGAGCGTAGTGTTGAGCATGGGAGAAGTATGTTCCTGCTTGATGCCAGGGGGAGGGCACATCAGCACTAAACACCTTCTGACAGCAGAAGGACACCCCATAAATGAATGTGGTTGCCAACTCTTCATTCATTCATCTGGTCCACGTTTATTGAGCATCACCCTGGGCTTGGTGCTGGTGATATGATGGCAAAGGAGATGGGCCAGTTTGCTGCCCCATTGACCATGTATTCAGGTGGGGATATGGACAATATGCCAGCCAACAAGCTCATAGATTAAGCAAATTGTGATTAGCATCTTGAAGAAGGGAAAAGGGTGACGTGACAATGGATAAGGGGTTGGTGGGTATTTCACATGGGGAGTCCAGAAGACCTTCCTGAGGTGGGACCATGTAGACCACCTTCCAGGAAGACTGGAAGGAGCCAGGGGAAAGTAACTTCAGATGATGGGAATGGTGAGGATAGAGATCACAAATTTGAAGCATTCCAGGAATACACAGAGGATAATATATAGGGCTAGTCAAAGTACCAGACTGTGGCTCTGGGCCCCGCGACGACATGGTAAGGAGCTTATACCGGAGTGCACAGTAACGTAGCGCTTGATTCGCTGAGAAGGTCTTGCTGTGAACCAAATGTCAGTAGAAACTAGTCGTATGTTTTAATGATGTAGCTGATCAACATTCTGGCCCAAGCGTCTCCTCTCCTCACAGACTAGTTACATTTTGTGGAGGGAGCTGGTCTGAGGACCACATGCTGAACTGTCCTGAAGAAGCAGATGCTGGTGGTGTTCCAACCAGGTCCCCTCAGTCTAGCCAGGAGGTCACAGCTTCCTGTGTCTTCCGAAGCATGTTCGCCAGCCCCAGTTGGGCAGCTGGCAGAGCACTGGGAAGTTACACCCACAGAATGATGCTCAACAGTGAGGGATGGGACATGGTGGATAAACTCTCCACTTTCCTCACTCTGAGCTGGGTTGACTTGGGGGCGTGTCCACATAGAGGGTCCCCAGCCCAGCTGAGCCCCAGTTGTTCACAGAGGTAATCCATTCGTTAATGTCCCTTGTTACACTTTCCTATTCCTTCACCATGCTGCCTAGAGTCTTCTCTCAAATTATCTACTTGAACCAAAATCCTTGTCTCAAGGACTGCTTCTGGGAAAACCCTAATAGAGAATGTAACTGAACTATAATACGCAAAGGACAAATGATGGCAGTGGAGGTCAGATAGCTGTGCAGGGCAGATCACACAAGACTTTGTTGACCATGGTAAGATACTTGGACTCTCCTCTAAGCATGTGGGATGCTACTGAAAAGCTTAAGCAGGGGAGATCTGTTACATGATCCATTTGTAATTCAAAAAGCTCCTTGGGTTGCAATTTGTGTCATGGATTGGATAGAGCAGGAGTAGAAGCAGGAGACCAGTTAGGGAACTATTTACAGCAGTCCAGGGAGGAGCTGATGGTAGCCAAGGGGTTTTGGTATAGATGGAGGCACACGCATAGGTTTGGAATCCATCTTGGAGAATAAACCAATAGGACTTGATGGTAGTTGGACTATGGGGGCAAAGAAAAGTCAAGGATGACACCTTGATCACTTGCTTCCCGGTGTGGATTGAGAAAGCTTGGATGGGGTGTGTGTGGATTTTGCCACAAAAGGTGCTCAGGGAGACTCACCCATAATATTGTGTAAGTTTAAGGTGTGAAACATCATGATGTGATGTATGTATATACTGTGATCACCACACTAAGTTTAATTAACGTCCATCACCGAGTTACGAATATTTTTTCTAGAGATGAAAATTTTTACCATCTGCTTTCCTGACAACTTCAAATACACAACACAGCATTGTTGACCGTAGTCACCATGCTATGCATGGCCACCCCAAGACTAGTTCATCTTATAACTGGAATTTTGTACCTTTTGACCACCTTCATCCAATCTGGTTTCTGTTTCTATGTATTTGGGGTTTTGTTGTTGCTGCTGCTGTTGTTTAGACCCGCATATAAATGAGATCATATAGTATATGTCTTTCTCTGTCTTGTTTCTTAGCACAATGCCTTCAAAGTTCATCCCTGTGGTTGCAAACAGCAGGAGTTCCTTTTTTGTGGCTGAATTATACTCCATTGTGTATATTCTACACTTTCTCTATCCATTTATCTGTCGATGGACACTTAGGTTGTTTCCCTGTCTTGTCTATTGTAAATGATGCTGCAATGAATGTGGGGTTGCAGAGAGCTATTTGATTTCATTTCCTTTGGATATACACCCAGAAGTGGAATTGCTGGATCATATGATATTTCTATTCTTTGTTCTTAAAGGAACCTCCATACTGCTCTCCACAGAGGCTGCATCAGTGTGCATCCCCACACCAGCGCATGAGGGTTCCCTCCCCTCCACATCCTCTTTGGTATTTTTTATCTCCTGCCTTTTTGATGATAGTCATTCTGAAAAGCGTGAGGCGGTATCTCATGGTTTTCACTTGCATTTTCCTGATGATGAGTGATGTTGAACACTTTTTATGTACCTGTTGGTCATTTGTATATCTTCTTTGGAAAAATGTCTATTCCAATTCTTTGCCCATTTAAAAAAATGGATTATTTGTATTTTTTTGGTATTTTTTTTGCTATCGAGTTGTATGACTTTTTAATATATTTTTAATATTAACCTTTAGTCAAGTATAGGATTTGCAAATATTTTTTCCCATTCTGCAGATTGTCTTTCCACCTTGTTGATGGTTTGCTTTGCTGTACAGAAGATTTTTTAAACTCTTATATTTTTATAAATATTTTATTTATTCATTTATTTGAGAGAAGGAGAGAGAGAATGAGCATGAGAGAGAGCAGAAGCAGAGGGGAGGGGTAGAGGGAGAAGCTGATTCCCTGCTGAGTGGGGAGCTCGAATGTGGGACTCTATGGTGGGATCATGACCTGAGCTAAAGGCAGACACTTAACCAACAGAGCCATGCAAGCACCTTGTACAAAATATTTTTAATTTGATGTAGTTCCACTTGTTTTTTGTCTTGTTTGTGCTTTAGATTTTATTTATTTATTTATTTATTGGAGTTCAGTTTGCCAACATATAGCATAACACCCAGAGATATATAAAAAAATCATTGCCAAGACCCATGCCAGAGAGACTTCTTCCTACTTTTCTCCTTATAGTTTCTAGTCTTACACATCTCTAATCCTTTCTGAGTTAATTTTTGTGAATGGTGTTAGACAGGAATCTAGTTTCATTTTTTAAATGAGACTATCCAATTTTCCAAGCACCATTTTTTTGAAGAGAAAATGTCTTTTTTCCACTGAGTATTATTGGCTCCCTTGTCAAATATTAGTATATGCTTAGGCTTAAGGGCTGTTGTTAAGGACACCATGGTGGCTATCCCTAGAAATGGTTTCAGGCCTCTATATTCAAAGGTACTCAGGCAAAAGGGATGCTGCTTGTTGGAAACACCACAGACCTTCTCTCTGCAGTATGGTATGAACCAGAATAGTGTGGTGTCTGAAAGGCTGGGCTCCATGCCTGAGAAGGGAATCACTTGTGCCCATAGTAGGCTGGAGAAGAGTTTTGGAAGACTGGGGATCTTTAGTAGTCATCACACTGGTAAGGCACCTGAATTGGGAGATGTCAGTCTAAGGGCCTGTCCTTGGGACCCACCTCACTGCTTGTTCTAGAGCAGTATTGCTAAGGTGGGGGAAAAAACCCTGCATTCTGATACATTTCTGCTGAGTATGTAAAACAGTATTACCTCCTTGTAGAGTAATTAGGCCCTGTATATGGAAATTAAGAATATGCACCTGTTCCTGGAAGGGAGATTGTTGGGGGAATTTATCCTACAGATGCCTTCCCATGGGTATAGAATGACAGCAGGGCGAGGATGTTCTTTAAAAGCTCCCAGCCAAGTTGTTGCAAAGGTCATAAATTATCCAGCAAGATGATAATGGTTGTAATTTTTTGTGAGTGATAAGTTATGTCTTGTTTACCATCATAGAAAAGGTATAAGTGTTTAATTTGTGTGGACACTGTTTGGCTTTCTCTTGTAAACTTCAGTAATCAACTTGGGGCCTAGGGTCTGTGTATGTAATACTTGCTGGTAGACAGTGCTCTCTGGTGGTCAAGTGGCCAAACTTCATGGCATCTGGATCCATTTCCCATGGCTGTCATACAGTAAGTACCACAAACTGGGTGCTTAGAAAACAAATGTATTCTCTTACGGTTCTGGAGGCCAGAAGTCCAGTATCAAGGTGTTGATAGGACCATACTCCCTCTCAAAGCTCTAGCAAGGAATCCCTCCTTGTCTCTTCCAGCTTCTGGTGGTTGCTGGCAATCCTTGGGGTTCTTTGGCTTGTGGCTGCATTATCCCAATGCCTGCCTCCTCTCATGTGTGTCCTTTTCCCTTCTTATCAAGAAACCAGTGATTGGATTTAGGGCCCTCCCTAAATACCCTATTTCCAAATAAGGTCATGTTCTGTGGTTGCAGGTGGATGTGAATTTGGAGGTGGGGAGGACACTATTCAACCTCCTACAGAATCCTTCCTTAACCTTTCTGTTGATTCACTTCAATTAATCTAATAAATAACTTAGTCCTGAGCTGTCTATCACGAATAAGGATTCTCACCTGCATACATAGTATTAGTTTTCTTTTGGTATGATTTGCTCTTACGCACACTTTTTCCTATCACCATGGAAATAGTATCTGATATGTTTACTGTTCTTTTTGTTATGGGGGTATTAGGGGGTCTCTCAGGAGCTGAACTGGATTGTTAACTTTCCGTTCCCTATCTTCCCTGGCTTGTAAAATAAATGCTAGCTAACCTGCTGAGTTCTTGCCCAGAGCCAGTTGCTGCCTTTGTACTTAATACTGCAACTCATCCCATTATCACACAAGGTTTACTACACTGTAGAGTTAAGCTTGGGGGAGCCTTTTGAAAACAGACTTTATGGGGTGCCTGGTGGCTCAGTCCGTTGGGCATCTGATTCT